GGTGGAATCGGCTGGGTCAACGTCAATGTCGATAGCTCTTTCCCGTCGTGAGGCGGCGTCGCCGTCGGATCGTCGTAAGCAGCAACAACAAAACAAAGCCCCCCCTCAAATGAAAAGACGTTTGCGTTGCTCTCGAGGTTCTCGAGGATCGGTGCATTCAGTGGTTGTGGAAAACAGCGTGGCACCCCTAGCACCTCTCTACCAACGAGCTGGCACTTTTCAAAACTTCCGTACCTGAGCGTCGGTGTTAGATATCGCTGATGCCATGTAGCACTAAGTTCGTGTGAGCGGTGAAGGGCGGTGGAGCTCGCCGCTCGCGGCTACTTGACCTCGTGGGAGAAGCCCGGGATCTTCTTGACGACCTGGTCCAGGATCTGTAGCAGTCGATTATGATCCACCCTCGCCACCCGCCTGTCGCCACCACCCGCGGCTCCCCCGTTGCCCTCGCCACCCGCTCGCTACCGCCCTCCCCCCCACCTCCTCCACACTGCCGCCGCCATCACTCACGCCGCCGCCGCCCTCCACCTCCCCCACACCTCCGCCAACCTCCACGCTGCCTTTCCCGCCGCAACCCTCTCGTTCGCCGCCCCTCGCCCCCACCGCCCCCCTACTCCACCCCTCGCCCTCCCCACCGCCCTACCGAACCACCCACCGCTCGCCCACATACCGACTTCCGTCCTCCCGCCGCCCTTACCCCTTCCCGCCCCGCTCCGCCCTCGCCATCCCCCATCTGTGCGCCCCTGCCTCCCCGTCCGCTCCCTCCCGCTTGGCGCCCATCCCGCCCTCTGCCCTCGCCCTCCGCCCCTGCCCTGGGTGGCCTGGGTGGCATCTCCGCATCATCACGCGCCAAGTGGGAGGGAAGTGGACGGGGCCCTGAGCCGACCTAGCCCCAGACGGAACGGGGCGCCCAACACGTGCCCGGATTACTGTGCCTTCCCCGGGTGCAGCCTTTCGGTTCGTGAAGGGTCGGTGCGAGTCGTGCTTTCCTCGATCCCCCGCCCTCCCCCACCATCTCCGCCGCTTTGGCTCTCCAGCCTTACCACCGGGAGGCGGCGAGGCGAAATCAGACTCGGTCGAGAGACCCCAGATTGGCATCCATGCCTTTCTGGACAGGGTGGCCCGCCACAACGACCCGTAAAATACGGGAGTATCGACAAACGCATTCTATGTCACGCGTAATACGCGACGAAGAGAACTGGTACTCGGCAGTTCTTGCCGCTTACGGAAAGGTTGGGCTGCACGTGTACATGGAAGACTATCTGAGCAGCGAAAAAGAATTCAATAAAATTGCAGCATACTTGGAGAAATGATACTGAAAAGTCCACAAAGAAAAGCGAAATTTCTCCACACACACAAGGTGGCGGGCCAAGGGGGGGGCGACCCTCGCGTCGTGGTGCACTAACCCCGAGAAACCAGAAACCCATCGGTATCGCTCCTCATCGCAAACAACCCTGTCAGCAGTCAGGCCGTAGTCAGTCCTTCCTCCGTCCGGGAATGAGCTACATACACTGAGAGAGAGAGAGCCGTGTGTATCGCGCGCCTGAGCCTGTCCCTTTTCTCCCATTAACTAGTTTATCTCGGCTTCTCCACATGAACCAAGCATCGGCACCGTGAGGTGTGATACATTGGTGCGTAAAGGGGAGAGGGTGGGTGGGAACCAAAGAGAGATGGCGCAGCCGGAGGGCTGGCGCCGTCAGAGAGGATGGAGCGGCCACAGAGGTGGCGCGGCATCAGGTCCCATGAGCAGGGAGAGAGCGCAGCGAGAGCGCCGCGCATGAGGAGCAAGGGCCAAGCGCGCTCGCGAAAGTAGGCGGCGAAAGCGCGCACCAGCTGAAGTGCAAGTTTGGTGTTCACAGCAGCGGAGGCTGAGTGAAGACCGCATGCGATGTGCGCGAGGGCACACGAGAGGGACTCAGGAGAGGTATCCGTGAGTACCCTACGATAAACTAGTGGCCTACCACGAGTTGGGGCCCCCACCCCAATCGTTATCGGCGGACTAGTTTATCTCGGCTTCTCCACATGAACCAAGCATCGGCACCGTGAGGTGTGATACATTGGTGCGTAAAGGGTCAGTCTGGAGTCGCGTGCCTCCACAACGGAAGAGCTACGCAGTACCTGACATCCCAACGCAGAGTGGAGGGAGCGGGTGCAGACGGACCTCGCATCCCAATGAAGCCAGAAGAGGGGCAGATGCGCTCGTGACGAGGAGCGACCCCAGCGTGAAGCCTACATTCACGCCACGCCGCCCACGAGGCGGCACACGAGACGAGGCTCGAGTAGACGAAGAGCGAGACGAGGCTCACACGAGGCGGCGGCAGAGACAGCCGCCCGCCACGCCACGCCGCCCACGAGGCGGCACACGAGACGAGGCTCGAGTAGACGAAGAGCGAGACGAGGCTCACACGAGGCGGCGGCACAGACAGCCGCCCGCCACGCCACGCCGCCCACGAGGCGGCACACGAGACGAGGCTCGAGTAGACGAAGAGCGAGACGAGGCTCACTCGAGGCGGCGGCAGAGACAGCAGCCCGCCACGCCGCCCACGAGGCGGCACACGAGACGAGGCTCGAGTAGACGAAGAGCGAGACGAGGCTCACTCGAGGCGGCGGCAGAGACAGCCGCCCGCCACGCCGCCCACGAGGCGGCACACGAGACGAGGCTCGAGTAGACGAAGAGCGAGACGAGGCTCACTCAAGGCGGCAGCAGAGACAGCCGCCCGCCACGCCGTCCAAGAGGCGGCACACGAGACGCGCCACGCCACGCCGCCCAAGAGGCGGCACACGAGACGAGGCTCGAGTAGACGAAGAGCGAGACGAGGCTCACTCGAGGCGGCGGCAAAGACAGCCGCCCGCCACGCCGTCCAAGAGGCGGCACACGAGACGAGGCTCGAGTAGACGACGAGCGAGACGAGGCTCACTCGAGGCGGCGGCGGAGACAGCCGCCCGCCACGCCACGCCGCCCACGAGGCGGCACACGAGACGAGGCTCGAGTAGACGAAGAGCGAGACGAGGCTCACTCAAGGCGGCAGCAGAGACAGCCGCCCGCCACGCCGTCCAAGAGGCGGCACACGAGACGAGGCTCGAGCAGACGAAGAGCGAGACGAGGCTCACTCGAGGCGGCGGCAGAGACAGCCGCCCGCCACGCCACGCCGCCCACGAGGCGGCACACAAGACGAGGCTCGAGTAGACGAAGAGCGAGACGAGGCTCACTCGAGGCGGCGGCAGAGACAGCCGCCCGCCACGCCACGCCCCCCAAGAGGCGGCACACGAGACGAGGCTCGAGTAGACGAAGAGCGAGACGAGGCTCACTCGAGGCGGAGGCAGAGACAGCAGCCCGCCACGCCGCCCAAGAGGCGGCACACGAGACGAGGCTCGAGTAGACGAAGAGCGAGACGAGGCTCACTCGAGGCGGCGGCAGAGACAGCAGCCCGCCACGCCGCCCACGAGGCGGCACACGAGACGAGGCTCGAGTAGACGAAGAGCGAGACGAGGCTCACTCGAGGCGGCGGCAGAGACAGCCGCCCGCCACGCCACGCCGCCCACGAGGCGGCACACGAGACGAGGCTCGAGTAGACGAAGAGCGAGACGAGGCTCACTCGAGGCGGGCAGAGACAGCCGCCCGCCACGCCGCCCACGAGGGCGAACGAGGCGAGGCTTGAGCAGACAAAGAGAGCGAGACGAGGCTCACTCGAAGAGCAGCAAGCGCCGCTGCACGGGCGGAGCAAGTGCCGGAGTGCTGCCTTGGATAGAGATCTCCCAGAGCAACATGACAGCAGAGCTTATCGCCGGCGGGTCCAGAGAGAAAGGAGAAGCACGCCACGAGACGTGATGCAACAGCAGCACCAAGAGTGGGCTGTGGGGCCACCGCCCCTGGCCGCCAGGTGGACGAGGCCGTCGTGGCAGAGCCGAGGCGACCACGAGAGCGCCACAAGCGCGGCAGACGAGGCCGCCGCCCATCGTGTACTGCTGCCCAGAACAGTCGCCAGCGACAGCAAGAATGGCGCAGACACAGATTCTGTGCCAACCAAAGAGAGATGGCGCAGCCGGAGGGCTGGCGCCGTCAGAGAGGATGGAGCGGCCACAGAGGTGGCGCGGCATCAGGTCCCATGAGCAGGGAGAGAGCGCAGCGAGAGCGCCGCGCATGAGGAGCAAGGGCCAAGCGCGCTCGCGAAAGTAGGCGGCGAAAGCGCGCACCAGCTGAAGTGCAAGTTTGGTGTTCACAGCAGCGGAGGCTGAGTGAAGACCGCATGCGATGTGCGCGAGGGCACACGAGAGGGACTCAGGAGAGGTATCCGTGAGTACCCTACGATAAACTAGTGGCCTACCACGAGTTGGGGCCCCCACCCCAATCGTTATCGGCGGAGCTAAAAGTACGTACGAATCGTATGAAAAGGGCCAGAATATCGGCCCGCGAGGTGGGGTGCTAGTATGAGACCGATACGTCGCAGTTCTCTTGCTCCAAGCGCTTGCGCCGGCGGTTAGTGGTGCACTAACCTCCGAGAAACCCATCGGGTCGCTCCTCATCGCAAACCCTGTCATCAGCAGAGTCCTCCTGCGGGAATGTACGTAAGAGCCACATACACTAGCGGCTTCTCCGACTGCGCTGAGTGGTAGGGCCGCCCCCAAGGGCCTAGAAAGCGCGCCTCCCTCTCCCTTTTCTCCCATTAAGCTAAAAGTACGTACACTAGAGAACACAACCCCCTCTCCCTCTTCTCCCAGTATGTATGTAAGGGGGTGAACCGCGCCATCCTCGATCGCCGTGCAAAGCTCGCTTCCGAGCTCTCACGCCGCGCGTAGGGCCCTTAGGGGCCTAGAGAACACAACCTCGAGTGGTTCCTGCGCGAGAGGATGGGGGCACATGGAGAGACTCGGTCTTTGTGTGTGTAGTACGTCTACAGGTGGATGCAGGCGTACGCGGTCGCCCTGCAGCTCTCTCCATGGTTCGGGGCGGGCTCTCCTCTCTCACTAGCAGGCACCCCCCACCTGTACGGGCGCCCCCCTCCCTACGTGCGCGCCCTCTTGGCGGCATTCGCGCGTGGCACCTTGAAGGGCTTCCCGGCCGCCGCACCGGAGATGCGCGCCTTCTCGATGGCCTCGATGGCCGCCGCCGCCTCGGCGGCGGCGATCGCCTCTTCGTCGTCCTCGACCGCGGCGTGGCCGCCACTCGACGACGCGGCCGCCCCCAGGTCGACGGTCTCGACCTCCGCCGCCTCCTCGCCACCCCCGAAGGAGACGCGGCGCCGGGCCGGAGTAGCCTGGCCCCGCCCGGCAGCAAACATGGCGAGAAGCTCGCCCTGCTTCTCCAGGATGGGCTGCATGGACGAGATCATCTTGCCCGCGATCTTGTCGGCCATCTTGTCGGCCATCGCGTCCTCGTTGATGAGCAGGGGCGTCGGGGCGGTAGGTGCCGAAGGAGCGTGTCCATTAATGCTCGGGTCGGGTTGGCGATCATCGTCTCGGTGAGCTTGGTGATACTCTCGAGCACCGTGTCGAGCTTCTTCTCTGTGTCCGTGGTAGGCTGGGCGGGGTTGGCCGTAGTGGTGGTCGCGATGCGGGTAGGGCAGTGTGGTGCGATGTGGCCCATCTGGCCGCAGGTCCGGGGCGGGGTCGGGGCCCAAAGTGATTCGGCCTATCGCCTCGGCAAGGTCCTCGGTGCGATTCTCCACGGTGTCGTCGAGCGAAAGCGCGGTAGCCGCGGAGGAGATGACGTCGACATCGGTGGAATCGGCTGGGTCAACGTCAATGTCGATAGCTCTTTCACGTCGGATCCCCTTGTTGTCTCCGATGTGTCGCGCCTGCGCGCTCGGCGTGTATGAAATCCATATCACCCCATGCTCCACGACTGGGGCTTTAGGCGGCGAGGGCGGGGCGCTAGGCGGCGGTTGTGTGTCTGTGTGTCGCTCCAGCGTGTGCCGTCATCTCTCCCCTGCCTTGCGTCCATGTCCAGTCCGAGCCTGGCTGTTCTTCGCCTTCCAGTGAATCAATCCCCAGTGTCCACTTGGCAAGCCTCTGGCGCACTTGGAGCACTTGGAGTGCGGTCATTAACCTCACGCCCAGGACCGATTGGTTGATGGATAGAAAGGCGAAGAACAGTCAGGCTCGGACACCAGCGCGGAAAGGGTGGACGCGGGACAGATGATGACGACACGCACGAGCGACACACAGACACAAACAAGCCGGGGAGCTAAGAAGCGCGCCCAGGCCCAGTGAGAAAATCATTTATTTCGCTGCTCCACAGCGTCTTGACCTGTTCGACGGTCTCCACCTCTGCCGAGCGTCGTGTGACGGCCGCTGTAGCCGTTTCTGATGTCTCTTCTTTGGCCGAGGTCTCGCCTCCGCTTCACCTCCGACTGGTACTGGTCCCCGCAACGGCCCACAGTCCTCCGTCTCCATGTTCAACCCCCTCCCCCCCCAGTCCTCGTACTTGACCATAATCTGCTTCCCTGATGTCGCGGTTGCTCCCCCTCATGCCTCAGTCCCTCCACCCCCACCTCGTTTGTCTGAATACACGTCCCTCCTCTGATCTTTGCGCAGTTTGAATCCTCGTCCTGAAGCCCCCCGCTCTTCCAACCCGGTTCGCACACACCACACACAGTTTTCTACTTTTCCTGACGACAGCGTCTTGAGGAAAAAGGCCGACATTTGGTCGACGGCGCGCAGCAGCCCCCTCGCCCACAGGCCCCGCGCTGCTCGCGCCATGTCGGGAAAGCTCAACAAGTCAACCGCGAGCCTCCACGCCGCTGCGAAGTGAGCGCGCCGCCGCGCCCTCGCCTCCTCGCATTCGCATCTAGGACGCCGCATCACACAGCGCCTCGTGCGACGGGCGCAGCGCACTCGGGGATGCTTGGGTGAAGAGAGAGGAGGCCGCTGGGTGGGTAAGCGAACACCAGGCCCTGCCACCGCCGCCGTGCCGCCAAATCACCGCCGCCGCCCGCCGCCGCCCGGCTGCCGCGCCTCACGATCTCACGGGCGCGCTATCTCACGCCGTGGGGCGCCGTCGGGCGGGCCTCCCTCCATCTCCTCGGCAGCTCGCGCCTCCCTCGACGCCGCCCCTAGACTGAGCTCGAGCAGAGACACGCGCGCCACACACCGTGACTGTGCACACACACAGACACAGGCTCTCGCTCGTGTGGATGCATGTCTCCCGACACCAGCGCGGTATGGGTGGACGCGGGACAGGAGAGGACGGCACGCCCTGGAGCGACACACAGACACGCAGACACTCGCGCAAGACCCAGCGAGGTCGGCTGCCACACATACCGAGAGTAAGATATCACCGCACACACCGCGCGCACGCGCCGCGGCGGCAGTTCCTCCTTCTGTGCAACTGATGCTCGCTCGGCCTGAGAGAGCTCCACACGCCTCTCGCCGCAGGGCCAAGCCGAAGCCGGACTGGTCGCTGACGCCCAAGGCGAGCGCCAGCGGGAGATTGTAACGCGGAGATTCGGAGATTTCTAGTGGTTGTTTTCTTCTCCAGGCGAGCGCCACTCGATGCTTGACCTCGCCGCTAATTAATACTTCATCATTCGTTTCTTCTGTCTTCAGGCGAAGCGGAACTCGATGCTTGACCTCGCCGCGAATTAATAATTAATCATTCGTTTCTTCTGTCTTCAGGCGAAGCGGAACTCGATGTTTGACTTCCCCGCTAATTCCAATTAATTTTCTTCTTTCTTCTCCAGGCGAAGCGGAACTCGATGCTTGACTTCGCCAAGGCCATCGCCAGCGGCGAGGAGGAGCAGGCACGCAAGTTAGTGCATACACAACGGACGGCCACTCCTGAACTAGTTGATGGGTAGAAAGGAACAGGGGCCCGCCTGTTGTATACTTTGGAGACAACGCACACCGCTCATTAGTTTCCTTACCTCACCGTGCCTTACCTTGCCTTACCTTGCCTCAACTTGCCGTTAGGGCGCGGCGCCGGAGAAGTCGCAAGGGTTCGCGATGCGGCCGGAGTCGTCCTTCTACCAGGCGATGAATCTAATGTATTTAATGAATGTATTTAATAACCAAAATTTTGGTTATTTATTAGATGCGGCCCGTCCTATCAAATCGAATGAAGAAATCACATTTAGTTCATTCTTCTCCTCCTTCTCCTTACCTTACCTTCTACCCGCAGGCGATGTCGGACGTTGAGGCGCTCGCCGACTGCCCCTTCTCCTCCTCGGGCGACAGTCACGAATGACCATTCTAACTCGTCATTGATTCATCGATACCTCAGGCGCCCGCGGACTCCAAGTCTGCCCTCGTGAACCTCGACACACTAACGCATGATTAATAACTGATCAACTGATCACTTCAGGCGCTCGCGGACTCCAAGTCTGCCCTCGTTAATCTCGCGGACAACTTCGAGGGCTTCCCGGGGTCGCTTCTGGTGGACGAGAAGGGAGCGCCTAGGGGGAGATATGGGGAGATATGGCGAGATCTGGGGAGATATGGGGAGATGTGGGGAGATGTGGGGAGATGTGGGGAGATGTGGGGAGATGTGGGGAGATGTGGGGAGATGTGGGGAGATGTGGGGAGATGTGGGGAGATGTGGGGAGATGTGGGGAGATGTGCGGAGATATGCGGAGATAGGGGGAGATCAGTGCGGCAGCCCGAGCATCGCATTCGCGCGCCTACCTCCCCACATGTCGCTGCTGCTGGACGGTCGAGAAGGGGGAGCAGCGCCGACGTTGTGTGTGGGCGGGGCATGGACGTTGTGTTGGGCGGGGGCATGGACCCGGCGGAAGGACTTAGTATTCGGAGGGGGTTAGTCGATTGTTGGCGGGAGCCGACGCGGTGGCGGGGGTGGAGAGGCGAAGGAATGATTCTTAATTCCAGTGAATACCATCTTAGGCGCGTCGCGTTCCTTTTGTGTACCCCATCGCCTGGCAGCTCTGCCCGGTTTCTTTACGTCTGCTGTATTTATGCAGGCGCGGACGCGGTGGCGGAGAGGCGAAGGAAGGTGGATCTTAACCTCAATGAACCTATACCATCTCAGGCGCCGACGCGGTGGCCGGGGTCAAGGCGAAGTACGACGTGTCTCCGGACGGCGAGCTGCTCCACTCCTCGCCCGTCATCAATTAGTAGTTGTCAATTGGCGAGATGAGTATTGATTGATTAGGCGACCTCTTCCTCCTCGCCCAGATCACTTTTGCGAATTAATGTTGATTCTCCACCCTATCTAATATGAACTAGGCGACCTCTTCCTCCTCGCCCAGATCGAGATTGCCTGCCCGAAAGAGACGGCGAGAATGCAGCGAGATTGGAGCGAGATCGAGACGAGGGGTCGAGATCGCCTGCCAGCGCAAGAGACGGAGATGGAGCTGTGCTTTGGGGCGGATATGGTTGTCTCATTAGTTAATCACCTTCATACCAGTTCGCAGCTGGGGTTGTTAACTAGTTAATAAATAAGTTAATCAGCCAGTCTGATTCGCAGGCGATGGACCTCCTCTGGGACGGGCGCGCGCCACGACTGCCTGCGCAAGATCTGGAAGAGCCTCCCTCAGTTAACAGGCAGTTCAGAATGAGTTAGGCGCGCTACGACCGTCTGCAAGATCTGGAAGAGTCTGGTCGGGTCTCACGAGGTCGTCCACGAGTACGCGCTCGCCGCCTCTGCCTGTCATTAAGCTCTACCTAGCGAATACTCTCATGGTTTAATGAAACAGGTACGTGCCCGCTCGCCGCCGCTGCCTGTCATTAAGCTCTACCTAGCGAATACTCTCATGGTTTAATGAAACAGGTACGCGCCCGCTCGCCGCCTCTGCCTGTCATTAAGCTCTACCTAGCGAATACTCTCATGGTTTAATGAAACAGGTACGCGCCCGCTCGCCGCCTCTGCCTGTCATTAAGCTCTACCTAGCGAATACTCTCATGGTTTAATGAAACAGGTACGCGCCCGCTCGCCGCCTCTGCCTGTCATTAAGCTCTACCTAGCGAATACTCTCATGGTTTAATGAAACAGGTACGCGCCCGCTCGCCGCCTCTGCCTGTCATTAAGCTCTACCTAGCGAATACTCTCATGGTTTAATGAAACAGGTACGCGCCCGCTCGCCGCCTCTGCCTGTCATTAAGCTCTACCTAGCAAATACTCTCATGATTTAATGAAACAGGTACGTGCCCGCTCGCCGCCGCTGCCTGTCATTATGTTCTACCTAGCAAATACTCTCATGATTTAATGAAACAGGTACGTGCCCGCTCGCCGCCTCTGCCTGTCATTAAGCTCTACCTAGCAAATACTCTCATGATTTAATGAAACAGGTACGTGCCCGCTCGCCGCCGCTGCCTGTCATTATGTTCTACCTAGCAAATACTCTCATGATTTAATGAAACAGGTACGTGCCCGCTCGCCGCCGCTGCCTGTCATTATGTTCTACCTAGCAAATACTCTCATGATTTAATGAAACAGGTACGTGCCCGCTCGCCGCCGCTGCCTGTCATTATGTTCTACCTAGCGAATACTCTCATGGTCTAATGAAACAGGTACGTGCCCGCTCGCGCCGCACTCTGCACATTAAGCTCTCGTTAGCAGTTAGCGAGTCATTGATTACCGACTCAGGTACACGCCAACCTGCCGCATCCTGCACATTAAGCTCTCGTTAGCAGTTAGCGAGTCATTGATTACCGACTCAGGTACACGCCAACCTGCCGCATCCTGCACATTAAGCTCTCATTAGCAGTTAGCGAGTCATTGATTACCGACTCAGGTACACGCCAACCTGCCGCATCCTGCACATTAAGTTCGCGCCGCCCTCCCTCGGCGCCGCCTCCGCCGCCGCCACGCCCGAACGAGAGGCACCCGGCCTTGGAGTGAGCAGCCAGTTCTATAATTGATCAGGCGCCGCCGCCGCCGCCGCCGCCACGCCCGCGCGAACGCAAAAGTGGCTCTTTAATTCAGAGTTCTTTTAAAGAGTTATTTTTAGGCGCCGCCGCCGCCACCTCTGCGCGCGACACGTCCGTCATCGCAAACAAGTGAGATCTAGCCGAGGTCTAGCCGAGGTCTAGCCGAGGTCTGCCGAGAGAGCGAGCCGAGAGAGCTAGCCAAAAGGCAGCCGAGGTCTAGCCGAGGTCTAGCCGAGGTCTAGCCGAGGTCTAGCCGAGATCTCACTAGCCGAGGTCTAGCCGAGAGAGCTAGCCGAGAGAGCTAGATAGCCGAGGTCTAGCCGAGGTCTAGCCGAGGTCTAGCTGCGTCGATCGCCCGAAGAGACGACCTCGGCCGAAGCTCGGCCCAATCTCGCGCAATCTCGCGGAAGGTACTCGAAGACCATCGTCTGCCACTCGATCGTCTCGTCGCACATCCCGCCGGTGCGAATTAGTTAATTAATAACGAGATTTTGATTCACAATCACTAGTGTCGTCTCGTCGCACATCCCGCCGGTGCGAATTAGTTAATTAATAACGAGATTTTAACTAACAATTACTAGTGTCGTCTCGTCGCATATCCCGCCGGTGCGCGAAAACCACTATGAGTTAACACTATGACTTATTGATTAACCATTCACAGTAGTAGTACTCAGGGAGGAGTCAGTAATCCCCCGCCCTTACCCCCGCCCTTACCCCGCGCTGACCCCGCGCTGACCCCAGGTCGACGGCTCGGAGAACAAGAAGGTGCAGTACGTGCGAGGGGACACCAAGGTCCTCGGGTTTGTCGTCGAGCCGACCGGCGGCCCACACCCTCGCGCTCCGCCCCGATCGAGGGGGCTTGGCCCGAGCTGAATTAACGAGTCTCCGTGATGATGGCAACAGGCCCGAATTCGTGCTCCGTCTCGATCGCGTGCGACTTCGCGCTCAACGGCGCGCAGAGAGTCGTCGAGAGTCGTCGAGTCGTCGAGATTCGTCGAGAGTCGTCGAGAGTCGTCGAGTCGTCGAGATTCGTCGAGATTCGTCGAGATTCGTCGAGATTCGGACGTCGCTCAACGAGCAACGGCAGGGAGAGTTACTTAGTGAAGGCTGCCCCCTGCAGGCGGGTTCGACTGGTGGGTGACGAAGCTCCTCTTCAAGTGCACAGGCGCTAATTACTCGATCAATTAGCTAATAATAATCAATTTTCAAAGGCGCTGTTAATCACCGTTCCTTTTTTAAGTGCACAGGCGCCAATCACTAGTTTTAGTTGGTCATACTTGTACTCAATCCGTTACCAAGTTCAAAGGCGCTGTTAATCAACGTTCCTTTTTAAGTGCACAGGCGCCAATCACTTAATTAATTGGTCATATTTGTACTCAATCCGTTGCGACCACACGCTCCTCTTCAAAAGCGCTATTAGTCAACGCTCCTCTCAATGGAGCCTTCTCGGAACCTTCTCGGAACCTTCCCCGTGCGCAGGCGTCGCGGAGATGGCGGCCAAGTCGACCGCGACGGATGTCGCAAAGTGCCTCAAGCGGCTCCGCACGGCCTGCGAGGCTTGAGAGTAGCCGAGATGGGCCGAGAGAGTAGCCGAGAGTTGCCGGTAGCCGAGAGTAGCCGAGAGATGGGCCGAGAGTAGCCGAGAGTAGCCGAGAGTAGCCGAGAGTAGCCGAGAGTAGCCGAGAAATGAGGTGATGTCTCATGTGGCTGTACCTGGCCACCCGGCGCCAAGGCCGGGGCGCCTTCTAAGAGGTTGCCTACTTCGAGTAGGCGTTGGCCAAGGGCGATGCCGACATCGCGATGTGACACCAAGCGTGTGAGGCGCAGCGATACAGTGGGGGCGCGAGCCTCCGGGGGGCGAGAGACGCGTTTCAGCTGAGCTGCACCTCCGAGCGTCCGCATGCAGAGAGCCTCAGGTGGCCTCCGTGCGGCAACCGGCATCCAACCATGCATGAATCGATTCGAAATACGCTGGGGCGCTTCTAAGTTCCTTCCCTCACCCTCCCAGTAAACGTGTTAAAGTTCTTCTCCCGTGTTGTTCAAGGTAAACGGATGTGGGGGGAGGGTAGACAGCGCCCCAAAATCTCCACCTGTGTATCTCGGGCCGCAGTGCGCAGACTGCTGACTGGCACCAACTTGGAACTTGACGGCGGCATGGAGACGTGATGCCTCCATGCCGCCGTTGCGTCGAAATCTCGACATACGAGTCGATCTTTGGCCCGCCAGAGGTACATGAACGGCGTTTCGGGCGACAACAGACAGCGCTGCGACCACGAAGTGGCGGTGGACATGCTCCGAAGCTGCTGGCGTCGCCGCTGGGATCGGCGGCGGCGCCAGCAGCGTTCTCGGATCTGAAGCCGACTTTGAGCGCTGATCGATCGATCTGAGGGCTGGCCGATGGGTGGCGCTGCGACATCGCCGCCACCGGCACCGCGGAGGCCGGCGGCGACCAGAGGAGCGGTTGGGGCGCGTGGCGCATATGCTACCTGCCATGTGAGCATTCGTGTGTGAATAATTTAGGGACATGTACATGTGTGCACGGCATTTTTTTACAAAGAGTGTGGTAGGGATGAGAGTGGTCTGACCGTGGAGAATTCTGGTCGAGGCCCTCTGTAGTATCGCGAGGCGTCCCTCTTCCCTCGTTCGCCGAGAGATCGTCATCTGAACCCGAAGATCGGTGCCCAGCATGTATTGTGGTGATAGTGAGTCGCACGCGGTCCTGTGCGCTGGTCACGGGTGATGGAATTCCCGCGCTAGGGCGAGCCTCCTCATCCGAGGCTGACATATTTCGTTCTAAGTACGAAGGCGCAATTATGCACCGGTGGGGGAGTGGCGCAATTATGCACCGAGTTGTGACACCACAACAAAGAGGTCGGCTGTCTCGCAGCGCGTGCCGCCCAGCGAAAGCAGTCGGGAAACTCTTACGTGCCAATATTTGGGCGCCGTCGGCGCCCAAAGTGCTAATATTAGTGATCTAGGTGGCAAGACGTGCCACTGCACGTGGTGTGGGAATACGAGGATATGGGAGTACGAATCGATGGACTATTCTGCAAAGGGGTGTGAACGGAGAGAGCAAACTCCTGGCAGCTCCCACAGTCGAAATGTGCGCCAGCTGCCCGCTCACCTGTGTCACGCCGCCGCGCACGCACCTCGCTATGTGCTCGCGCGAGCTCCCGCCCGAGCCTCCAGCTCGGTTTCCCACTGCTGCGGAGCCGATCGCTTTTCCTCGGCGCTCGCGTCGAGCCGAGCTCTCGGCACTCTACGGCGGGCGTCGCTGTGCGGGGCGCCCGTTTCCTGCTGGCCCGAGCGGAAAGCTCCACGTGCCCGCGCGAGCTCCGGGCCGAGCCTCCAGCTCGGCGTCCCACTGCTGAGGAGCCGATCGTCGTCCGTCGGTGCTCTCGAGGAGCCGAGCTCCTTGGCCTGCGGCCGGCGACGCTGCAGGACGGCGCGCGCGCACCCCCCCCTCCCTCACCCGCGCGCTCTTCCGCCGGCGGCGCACACGCACCCCTCGCCCCGGCGCTCTTCCGCGGCGCAGACCCCACCCCCCCCCC